CACACACACACACACACACACACACAACTGGACAGCTACAGCAGATCCTTGATGTACTCAGCAACTGTTTCCACACCAGGGCTTCCGTCTGCCCTGTCCCCAACCCCTTTCTGCAGGCTGCTGTGTGTGGCCACGGGGAACCTGTACCTTTCTTCTTAAGGAATGCTCTCCTGTTTGCAAGCGGGCTCTGGCGGACCCGGGAATTCTGTAGAAACTTCACGGCTGTGGCAATCTGGTAGGGGAGATAAAACAGAGAAGAAAAGTAAACCTCATTAATCTGAAATTTCAAGATTAAAAATCCTATGAGTTTATCTCAAGTCCATACAAAGCAAGCATACCACTGTGGTCAAATTTATAACCAGTCATTTCTTAAATTTAAAATCTACCTGAATGAAAGACTGTTATTATTTCCCTATCTTCACTGGCTTCTTGTATCTGAGCCTGTCAAACCTGCTATAATTGTTCCCCATCCTCTCCTAGTCAAGCCTCATTGTGTCACTGCACTTGTGCCCATGTTCTGCCCTCTTCTATCTTCCTGTCCCTCTTCTACCTATCTAAATATTACACACATACACACACACACAGCCTTTTGGTAGCCTGTTCTAACTTCTCAAAAGCCTTCCTAAAATAAGCCTGCCATCTCTGATCTCCCTACTCCCTTCAATTCTTCAATGCATGTAGTGTGTACTATATTGAAGACATAATTATGCTGTCTTCTAATGTTCAGCTGCCTCCCCAACTACATGGCAAGCATCTAAAGGGAAAAGACCATGCTCCTCCACAGAGCCTGGCCAAGTGCTGAGCACACCCCAGATGGAAGGGATTATAGAAGGGACAACATGCACAGCCACTCATATGGTCACATCAGGCAATGGAACTGAACTCTGAGGAGCTGCTTACAGAGAACAAAGTTTGGGTTGCCACGACTAAAAGCTGACAGATTAGCCAATTACCTAGCTACCCCTGGTAAAGAATACATATTGGTTAATGAAATCTTCATATCTCACAAATCAGGCAAGTAAGGGATGGAAGGAAAACTGTTCAAGGTTCTTGCCTCCACATCACTCAGCACACACAAAGCACATTTACACGGATGCTGGTCTGCTCTCCATCTGAGACAGGAGTGTGATGGGTGGGAAACAGCAACCTGCCCCAGATAGAAAAGGGGCCATTTTAAATGACTGGCATTTTTCCACCTCATCAAAAGCAAAAGAATAATTTGGTCTCACATTACAGGTAAAGTCAACAGGCCCTGCAGTTCACTTGGAAGTTGCTGAAAGAAAGAATTTTTAATGAGCCAAATATAAGGAAGTTTTCTAAGATCCTTCAAACTAAGGGTAGCAGTTGGGCATAGATTCAAACAGAAAGCACTGTGACTATAAATGAAATACAAGTTGCAAATCATCTCTTTCCCATATTTTATATGAATTTAATTCTGAGACCAGACCGGCTTCTCTAGTAATAAAAGATGTTGTGGATAAACTAGGGTGGGGGTTAAACTAGGTAACTCCCCTATATATTTCTCCAATAATCACTCTTCGGGAGGCTTAACAAGACATCCTCCCTAAAGGATGAACTCAGGTTCCTTGAACTTTTCAGATGTAGACCTGTCAGCAAGATGACACACCAGTGTTGCCTGAGAGCCAAACACAGCTCCCTACCAGTCATGATCTGTCCAACACTGAAAACCCATTACAATATTAACCAGCACCACAAACTTCAGTGATAACGAACCAGTCTGGACTACAGAAAAACTGATGCTCGAGATTCTAGAACCCCAACACTGCAGATTCACCTCAGGTTGTACCAAAATCAAGAAATTCTAACAAACATCCACAAAATGGACACACTTTAATGAAGAGATGGGAGAGGCTGGAGAGGGAGGAAAGATAAAAGAGAAATAAGAAAAGGGAACAGGTAGGAAGAAATGAAGAGAGGAGAAGGAGGTATTAAGACAAGAAGAGAAGGCAGAGGAGAAGTAACAGAAGGGGGAGAGGAAAAAAGGGGAGGGGAGCAGTAGGAGAGGGAATTGATGAAGGAGGAGATTCAGGAAAACCAGAGAGGAAAGGCCCATGCTCTGGAAAGAGAACGGACGTTACAGAATCACAGGCCACACAGGTCAATGCCAATCTGTGTGGCTCAGATGGCTCAGGGATAATTGTTCTTCACCTGGAGAAAAAATACACCTTCAATACACAAGAAAATTACAGTGTTCATATCATGCAGCAGTCTGTGCACACTCATATGTGTACCAGGTGTCGAAGGAAATGTGGATGAACAGGTCTTAAGCGGTAGATGCTAATAGCACAGCTCCTATCATTTACCCATAGAAACATAAACCTTTCCTTCACCCTTCCAAAATTTTCCATGGCAGAGAAGGAAAAGAGAATCCCACCACTAAAACACATAGGTTTCACCTTGCTTTTTTAATACAGTCCTTGGTATATGCATTTCTGGTCAGAGAGCAAAGTTCTGATGGGTTTAATGGTGCACTCAATGCAGTGCTTGGCGCATTCCATCAATTTTTTTTTTTTTAAAAATTGCATCTCTTATTTCTTTAAATACATTAATCAGCCTAGTGTAGGCAAAACGGATCCATCGGACAATGCAATAAACATGAATTATCATCTATCCAACACGCATAATGGCTTAAAAATACATAATAGCAGGTGTAGTTTAAATGATTAGTTATTACACCTGTGGTGGGTCTGATTCAATTGGGAAAAATCATCTTTAATAGGTTAAAAGGTTTAGATCACCATGCTTTTCTTAAAGTGGCTGTAGAGAGGGGATGATGGAGTGCTCTGTCATTAGTAATTCATTTAAGAAAAACGTGGGGGATATAGCAAAGAACAGCATAAACGAGCGAATCCAATTTAAACATCAGGTAAAGTAGAAAACACCTTTTAAAAAAGCAAGATAAATGAATTTGGAAGGGAGATGAAATTGACATATTTATTTTAACGGGAATTTGACAAAGTCCCGGCACACTTCAAACTTGCAAAAATATGAACAATTTCTTGTAAAGTTTCCATTCACTAATTTCAAGTCATATAAAATGATACTGCCAAACACCTACATAAAGTATATTTGGGGCTTGTTTATGTTCCTCTTGATCTTTGTCTGAAAATGCAGGCGACAGGCAAATCACATATTTAACAGCATCGATATCCCTACGCCAGATGCAAAAATATAAAGCACCCAAACTAATAGCCTCAACATAATGTGCTGAATAAGAAAGATACCCAGGTAAGCAGCTACATGTAAGTGCGAGCATATGAAAACCTTTCTCCTCCTTCCACTAATTATTTCTTCACCTACTCTTCACTCTTCTCCGCCCCACTCCCTGCGAGGATCCAGTATTGCAACAGGGGGGAGAACGGGCCATCCAATCTAGAATTTTATAAGCGTTATGATTCATACATAAAAGGTTAAAGACTTCCCAAAACGCTTTTCCCCATAATGCAACAATTTTAGCATCTAAATAACTGACGGTGCACTCAGTCTGTCTTTCCTTCCCCTCTTGTTGGACACTTTTCATTAACTTCATGAAGCAATTCAACCCCCTCTTCCCTCCGAAAACACCCCACATACACAACACGCTTTTGTTGGATTAAATGATGGGGTGCCTGCAGCCTGTCCTGTATTATCGTTTGATTTTCTAATTAGAAAATGAATGTGACTATTCATGGGTTATATTTGTGCCCAACTAAATTACATAAATTCAGGCCAAATCTTCCGCCTCAATGTCAAAGATGTAAAACGGCGGCAGGAATTTTATTGCACATGTTGTGGGAGTGCAGCAAGCCAGAGAAAATTCTGGCACAAAGCACCTGATACCATTGCCTAGGCCACTTGCTGTTGAGTGGACTTGCTGTTGTGTAAATATGGACTTGGCTTCCCTTTCTCTTACTCTTACACTGACCGAGTACTTAAAGAGTATATTTGAATTACCAGTAGCTAGTTTACTAAAGGAAGCTCTGGTGGCACAGTGCCTAAGGCATTTGACTGCTAACCAGAAGGCTAGTGGTTCAAACCCGCCAGACACTCCTCAGAAGAAAAGTTGGGCAATCTACTTCTGTTGTGATACTGCCTCAGAAACCCAAGCAGGGGTCACTATGAGTCGAATTCAACTCAATGGCAGTGAGTTTGGTTTTTGGTTTTTAGTTTACTAAAAATAAGACTAACTCACAGGGAAACAGGAGCAAAATTTCTCACTTCCACTACTCTCCCACCCTCCCCCAAACAAAGCAAAACAAAACCACCCTGCAACTACCAACTCCATTAACTTTAGGGAAATTTGATCATTTTCACTGCTTATCATTTAAAGCTAGAAGGTAAAACTGAGGTGCAGAGGAGTAAATTCTTGTTTCGGCCATCTTGTAACAATGGTTACACTGGAGTGACTGCCAGCAGGTCAGAGAAAAAGGGGGGCTTCAGGTTGAAAAACACCTTCGAATCCAAGACGATTGGCCAATTGAGAGAGATTTGTGTTTGAGAGAGCAGGATTTGTAACTGTATAAATCAATGGAATACAGTATACTCGGGGGTTATCTACTATGAACTATGGGCTGTTAAATGCATTGTGGAGGATAAGTAATCCCTGGTGAGAAGACTCGAGGTTCCTGACAGTCTTCACAGAAGAGATGCTTCCTATGTGTTTGAAAAGACCTGCCCATTGTAATCTTCAGGATGCACACTTTCATTTCTGCATAACGGGGACGGGAGAACAGAGCCTGTCTGATAACGACCCAGGGGTTGGAGCGAACCTTAGCACTTTGCACCTGATGCATTGTCTCCAGTGACACTTATTTGGAATGCCACCAATTCCACCATTCCTGTGTACTACACACATCTATCTCCTAACATGTGAGCATTCATTAGCCATTCTAAAATACTAAGGATATTCAAAAATTAGTGGCACCAACAACCAAAGCCAAGTCCTTTTTAAGCCAGAGAGATCACAGATAGAGGGCAAGAGGAAATGACCACAATGTGGGCCTGAGCCCCACTCCAGCGCAGCCCAGCTCCACGTGCACTGCTTGCCCTGCTCGGAAGAACGAATTGCCTGTGAAAGGTTCGTCCGCACCTACTCTAAAGTAGAGACCCGGAATCTTGTTAACAAGCGTTAAACCAAAGCCAACGTGAGTTTTAACAAGGATTGACTTTAAAAGCCAGACATTACCAAGAATGAGAGAGCCCTCTTCAAACAGAAATGGCTGCTTT